GGAGACATCCTTCCTTGGGCTGGCAGCGAGAGCTCTGGTCTTTCTGCCACCTCGGTCCCGCGAGTGCCCTGTTTTACTCTTTACTTCTCTCTCTCCCTCTCTTTCTGTCTCTCTCTCTTTCACACACACACACACACACACACACACACACACACACACACACAGAAATTATACTAAAGTCACAAACATTCAATGACTCTAAGTATATTTACCTCAATAATCTGCAAAAGCTTCGAGGGTAACTCAGCCGCTGGCTAGCTGCAGCCACACTGGGAGGAAGAGGAGGCCGGGGTGGGAAATAAGCTAGTGTGGCAGAGAATATTAGGCAGACAACTCCAAATTCTGAAAGAAAAAAAGTATAGAATTAATTGGCAATATGAAAAGTCCAGTATTTCCAGTATTTATTGAACAAATGTTCACGGAGCATCAAGCAACATACAGCACCTATCTAGCCTTTCTTGTAGCCTAGCAAGAAACATGGATGCACACAGGTGGGAACTTCAGCAGGCTTCAGGTAAGAAGTCACGCCATCAGCACAGAAGCATGGTGTGATACACATGCACAAAAAAGACGGAGGCAGCAAACTACCTGCTACTCTATGGAAAAAACACATTAAAACCCAACAGTACTTTACTGTGAAAGAGGATCTGAAACAGGTCTAGCACGACTGTCTAACATGCATGGAACTTGGAAAGAAAGAATGTGTAAGGAAATTGCTAAGACGAGCACGGAAAGCTGGATGCACAGCAAGACCTCTGATGCATATGAAGGACAGATCAAATCTGTAAACAAAGGAAGGTGAACAAGACCAGAAAGCACTGAAAGTAAGAAACCAAGAGATAGCAAATTTAAGCACAAAAACTACTAGATAATAGGATATTAAACAGTCAGAAATAAAATGGACTTTTTGTTGAATTTATATCATCTTGTTTGTTGAAATTCTGTATTTCTAATTTTCTTTCATTGTTTTTTACTCTTTAAAATAAAAATTCAAAAATTGATTTGTCAGCAATCTATATTAATATTCAAATAATTCCTAAACTACAAACACACAAACACCAGGCTGGGGAGATAGCTCTGTGGTTAAGCACCTGCCTGGCAAACACAAGGACGGGGTTCAATCCCGGCACTGTGCCAGCTCCAGAACCCTGAACAAACCATGCCAGCCACCAAAAGCAGGCATGGTGGTGCACACGTGTAATCCCAAAGCTGGGAGAGTTCAGACAGGAGAAACACTATGACTCTGAGCTGCATTGTAAGACCCTGTTCCAAATAAAAATAAATAAATAAATAATTTAAAAATTAAAACAAAAAAACCCAAAACTCCAACAGAAGTGAAAGCATCAAGGATTCTCCATCTTTCCCTCCACAGTGCTGGTGTTTGTTAAGTACCAGCTTTGGTAAACTGTGCCAAATTTAATAGACAAGCACAGCAGCAACAGCAAAATCAGGAAACTTGGGGTACAGATATGACTTGCTGTTAACTATAGCATCTTTTTTGTGGGGGAGGCAGAACCAGGGATTGAACTCAGACCCTGCCTTATTCTACTGAGCCATCTCCCCGGTCCCTAACTATAGTATCTTGAAATTTGGGTGAATCCTTTAATTCTATCTGGGGCAATAAAGGAGGGAGAGGAAGAAAATAGAATTATGTGTTGGATAATTCTAAGGCTCTATTCGTAGCAAATGGAACAATATTCTTTTAAGACACAAGCATAGGTGATTTTATTTAAGTAATTAGAAATTTATAGATTTTTTAAGGGATGTTGAGATAGCTCAGCAGACTTAAGTGCTTGCTTAGGTAAGCGTAGGGGCCAGGGTTCTATCCCTGCACCAAATGCTGTGCTGGCCCCACTCCCAGGCGTGCTGAGCCAGCGAAGAAGTCTGGGCATGGTAGCGCACACCTGTAATCCCAGAAGTAGGGAGGCTGAAAACAGGAAGATCACTACACCAAGTATGTAAAGAGAGAATGAGAACATGCAAGAGAATGTTAACAGTCTTGTCTCTCAGAATTAGAAATCTATAAATTTCTCTTTTAGTTTTTTTCCTTTTTGTTTGTGCAGGGTCTCACTACGCAGCATGGACTAGTATTGATTCTTATGTTTTCAGCCTCCCCAGAGCTGGGATTACAGGTGTGTGCCACCATGCCAGATCTCAGTGGCCAGCTTATCATGTGGTACCAGGGATCAAACCAGGTGCTTGCCTAAGTAGGAGTCTAGTCCTCTGAGCTATCTAGCCAGCCCTGTTTTCATTCTCTTTGTTCTTTGTTAGTCTGTGGAGGACAAAGTTAGTGAACTTTTAAAATTTATAGTTCTTTTATTTTTTTAATTTACTTTATTTGTCCTTTAATTTTTTTCCTTAATCTTTATTTATTTATTTGGTACAGGGTCTTGCTACACATCTAAGACTCATAGTGATCCTCCTGTCTCAGCCTCCCCCGTGCGGGATTACAGGTATGCCCCACCATGCCTGGTTTTAGTGGTCGGCACAGCATGTGGTATCCAGGATTAAACCCAGGTCCTTGAGCTCGGCACAGCATGCAGTATCCAGGATTAAGCCTGGGTCCTTGAGTTTGCCAGGCAGGTGCTAAAACTGCCAAGCTATCTCCCCTGCCCTTTTTGGTCTTTTTTGAGACAGGGTTTCAATATGCAGTTCAGGCTGGCCTTGAACTCAATTTGTATTTCAGGCTGGCCTTAAATTTACAGTCATCCACCTGCTGAGCTCAGCCTCCTGAGTACTGGCATTACAGATGTGCACCACCATGCCCAGCCTACTGTTCTTGTAATTATTAACAACTGATGAATGTACAACTTTCTTACAATTTTTGGACATTTGTATTTCCTCTGTGATTGCCTTTTTCATATTTTTTGACTTGTTTCAATAGGTAATCTAGGTAGCTTCATGACATTACACATAATTCACATTTATTTACTTATTTATAACTTGTACTTTCCAGGCAGGCACGTACGCCAGTGAGCTGCCTCCCCAGCCAATTCACACATTTTAATGTATTTGGTTGTTGCAGGGTCTTACTACACAGCTCAGACTTGTAGCGATCCTTCTGCTTTCAGCCTCTCCAGTGCTGGGAGTATCATGCCCAGAGTCGCCCAGACTTTGGTCTGCTCAGCTTGCCCTGAGGGCGGGGCTGGAGCAGAATGTTGCGCCAGGGATCGAACCACGTCCCTGTGCTTGTCTAAGCTTGCCTAGGCAGGTGCTTTAGTCTACTGAGCTTTCTTGCCCGCCCCAATTCACATATTTAAAAGTATATAATCCATTGCCTTTCAGTACATTTATACAACTGTGATACCATCACCATGATTTTAGAGTTTTCTCATCACTTCTGAAGAAACCCTGTGTCTATCTTACAGTTCTATCTCCCACTAATCTACTTGTACAGATGTGAGTATTAGCATATTTCATATAAATATAACAATACACAGTCTTTTGTAACTGGCAATTTTTAGTTAGCATAATGCTCTCAAGGGTCATCCATATTCAAGATCATGTAATTTTCAGTACAGATGCTTTTTCTTCTTTCCAATCTCTTTATTTCTTTTTCCTTGCCCAGTGGAAAGGGCAAGGAAGAAGAACCTTCAGCACAGTGTAAAACAGATGTAAGACTGGACATCGTCATTTTATTCATGTCTTAGGGGAAGTATATGCATCTTTTTTAAAACTAGGGTGAGGGAATGCCTCTTTCTGGTTTGTTGATGGTTTTCATTTTGAAAGGATATGGGTTCTATCAAATGTTTTTCCTTTGTGTCTTTATAGGATCACCTGTTTTACTCCTTTACTCTATAACTGAATTTTGAGGGTAAAACCAATCCTGACTTCTAGAATGAACTGTACTTGGTTAATGAGTATGAGCCTTATAGTATATTTCTGGATTTGATTTGCTAGTATTTTGTTGAGGTTTTTGTGTTTATATTCATGAGAGATATTGGTTGGTAGTTTACTTTTCATAAAGTACCTTTGTGTAGAATCATTTAAGAGCCTTTAACCTTTTAAGGCAACAATTCTAGCAAAAGTATTCTTAATGGACTAAAGAATTATAGGACAGTGTTTCAGAAAGGCAGACTACTGTACTCACCTGTGGTCTCAGTGTGAAACAACTGAAGGAGTAACTAGGAATTGGACATAAAAAGCTCTGCTTGACCGGAAGAGAGGGTAAGCCAGAGGGAGCATTAAGGAGGGCCTCAGGTCCTAAAACCTGATTCCTTCAAAGACAGGATCACTGCTTAGGTTTTCTTTTCTTTTTTTTTTTTTTTTCCGGAACCAGGGATTGAACTCAGGCCCTTGTGCTTGCCAGGGAAGTGTTTATTCCACTGAGCCATCTCCCCGGCCCCTACTGCTTAGGTTTTCAATCAAATAAAAGATATTATCAAAATACAATTTAAAACATATGTTTTACCTGCTTTTATTTCTATTTATTTATTTTTATATTTCAATTTATTTTCAAAGTATGAGTAATACATACTTGTGCTCATTAATCTTTTTTTATAAAAAAATGTATTTGGTACAGGGTTTCACTACAACAGCTTGGACTCATACTGATCCTTGTGTTTTTAGCCCTCCCAGTGCTGGGATTACAGACCTGTACCACCACGCCCAGACTTGGTTGCTGGCTCAGCTCACTGGGGGCGGGGCCAGCGTGGCATGTGGTGCCAGGATCCAACCCTAATCTTGACTGTCAACTTTGTGGGCGTGAGAGCCACCCAGGGGACTAGTGAGGCACACTCTGGGTGTGTCGCTCTGGTGCCTTTGTCCTGTGCTCACCTTCCTGGCACTAGGAAGTGAGCAGTTTTGCTTGGCCACTCCCTTTTGCCATGATGTTCCTGCCTTGAAGTCAGCCATGGCCTGAACCCTTTGAAGCAGAGTCGCATTACACTTCTTCTTGAGGTTGTGTTGGTAGGTATTAGGTGACTAATACAATACCTACAGAGGGCTAAATGCTTTGCTTCCTGGTGTAGTTCCTGCTTTCAGTTTTATTCCCTCTAAAGCATTCTTTGAAATGTAAGTTTCACCATGCGACTCTGACATAAGCTTCAGAGGGTAGTATCTGCCCAGAGCAGCTGAACTGCACACTCTTTCGGCCTGTTTAGAGCAACTACAAGCCCTGGCTTCTCCCTTTGTCTCCCTCACATCTCTACTCTCAAGAGGTCTGAGCCATTCTAAATTTTTCAGTTCTTTTTCTTTCCTGGGCTGCTTCTCCAAAGCTGTCCCTCTCCTTTTCATTCTTCCTGCTCCCCCTTGTGTTTAGCTACCTCTCTCTCACCCCTCAGGTTCTAACTCGGATGTTGCATCTCTGGGAAGCTCTACTTCATCATCAGAATCTGTGCTTGGGGATTTTCCTCTGAGCTTCCAGAGCAACTGCAGGCCTTCTATTAGTGCCCATCTCTCTGTTCTGCAGTTGCTGTCTTCATCCTTCACAGTAGGAACCACCTCAGTGTCAACACAGTCAACAGCACACAGAAGCCCAGGTCAGGCATGGTAGTACATGACAATAAACCTAGTACTCGGGAGGCTGAGGCAGAGCAATTGCCTTGAGTTTGAGACAAGTCTGGGCTGCAAGGTGAGTTCAGAGCCCCTAAACTACATATCAAAACCTTGTTTCAAAAAACAAAAAGTTTTTAAAATTAAAAATGAATAAATAAGACAAAGTTCAACATAACTTGGTCCCTTATCTTTCTAGCCTTATCTTCTCTACTTGTACTGACACGCAAACACACACTGCTTCACCTATCACACTACAGGCAAAGTCTAGAACATACTGAGTTCTCTCACACCCTCCCTGATTTTGCAGCGGTTGCTCCTTCAGAAAGATCCTAACCTACCTGAACACTTAGTGAACTCCCACAAAATTCTTAACTTGGTTTATGTTTTTGGTGAAGCCTTCCCTAACTCTTTGGTTTCTTCCCAAACTTAGGCATGTTAGGTCTACCTATCTCTGTATATCCCTCTTTGTGTCATAAACAGCTCAGTATTGACTTTAGTGATGCCAAGAGCATGGCACAGTGTGCAGTATTTAGTAAATACTTATTAAAAAGTGCTGTCTCTACAGAGAAACAACAGGTACATGAGAGGATGTATTTTTAATATATGTAGAATATGGTAATATGGTAATATAAGAGTAAGCTAGAGCTTCACTCTAGAAATATAAAGGATCCAAGAGAATACTTTGGGAAGGGCAATATGTCTGATTAATAGACTTAACATACAGAAGACAGGAAGTAGAAGAATGAACTATAAGTGCCCAATGCCAGTAAGGTTAGAGGACATGGCTAATAATAGAAAAACTGTAAGGGGAAAAAAATGGGCTGAAAGCTTACCAATAGATGTTTGACCAAACAGATGTTTATGACCAATCATGTTTAATTTATATACTGGCATGCTATCTAGAGAAGACACTAGAATATGTGTTACCCAGAGCTTCATTATAAATTGAGAAAAGAAGTAACACTAAGAAATCACCCATGGTGTAAGAAGACATTTAAAATTGAGCAACTTTCCAGGAAGCATCTCCATACTACATAACAAAGACAGCACAGTATGTGCGTGGGACAAACGTCAGTCCTTATTTCATATGAAGTGATCTGATACAGAAAAAGTAGAGTGAAGATAACTGGGATAAAAAAGTATAACAAGAAGAGTAAAAGCTTGCAGTTACCTGCATACAATACAGTCTCGATGCGATCTTTAATGTGAGCCCTGTTACTCTCTGCAGCAAGGAGGGGCGACGTCCCGTTGGGAGCTGGGACAACAAGTGGTCCAACCAAAAATGCGCACGCTCCACCGAGGTAACTGAGCATGGATGCGATTGCAGTGGCAGTGGCCCGTTCATCTGCAGAGAACCACGTCGTGGAGAGGAACGGTGCTGCGTTCATTACGGTCGGGCCTGCCAGTCCATTTAGCATCTGTCCTCCATGGATTAACCTGGAATTCAAAAAATTAAAAGGCTGTGAGGTATGTAAAGCAGGCATTTTCTAAGACAACAAGAAATGAGCCGGCTTACCTTTTAGAATGCATGTTGACCCTCTATGAGGGAGATAAATACGGCAACAGTTATCATCTATTATTCACTTCACAAATATTTGCTCAAGACTCTGACTTGTGCCATACATCAAAGCAAGTGTTTCCTACACTTAGTCCACTTAGGCGTCATAGCAGTCCTACGTCGTAGCTATTATTGACTCTTTTTATTAAAATATGAAAGCCTAGGCTACAAAAATCAGGAACTATTTGCTTAAGTGCTAAAATTTGGATCTAGATCTGACTCCAAAATATAAAACCTTTCTCCTGTACTGCCATTCATGACCAGAGCTAGTAAATGCCACTGGCCCTGGAAATGATACACTGGAGTTCAACATGTCATACTTTCTTTTTGCCAAGAACTAAAACAAAATTTACATTGCAAAAAAGATATTTAATATTTTCTAATGGTACAGACACTGAAAAGCAACTGGAGGACTTGGGTTTATGAAGCTCTGCAGCTAGCTATCTGAAAGGCCCTGGCTGATATACATAACTTGGTGTGGGGGAGTGTGTCCCATTTATTCTCCCATAAAACAAGATGAATTTAAATTCCATGTATATTTACTGAGCATCCATGAGGTTAAGAGACTGGAATCATAGAATAACTAGACTTTTCAATTTTTTGTTTTTAGCAAGAGGGTGTCGAGGATTGAACCTAGGGTTTCTTGCACACCATTTCAGCCCTACTATGCTATTTCTCAGCTTAACTGCAAGATCTAGGGAAGAGCAGTTTCTTACTTCCATTTGTTCTCTTGCTCTTTTCATGACATTCTGCCCAGCTCTCCTGCATCCTGCAGACCACAGCCTCTACCCTCATTACTCTCCCTACCTCCGGCGTACACAGTCATATTCAGCAGAAGTCTATAAGGCCTAAGTGGGCCAGAAGTATAAACAAGGCAGACAAGAGAAGGAGACAGACAACCTCTAGTGACCTGGAGTAAGGAAAGAGAAGGGAGGCAGTACACAGAAAGCTTTCAAGATAGCATCATTTTTCCTCTTCATGTTGTTTATTTAAGTAGTACTGAATATTAAACCTTTTTAAAAACAATCATCGGGCCGGGGAGATGGCTCGGTAGAATAAGCACTTCCCTGGTAAGCGCAAGGGCCTGAGTTCAATCCCGGTTCTGCCAAAAATAAAAAAAAAAAAAATAAAAACAATCATCATCTTAAGTCACTTAGAAAAACCTTTCTGGAACTGTGGAGCTAGTTCGGTGGTCTAAGTGCCTGGCAAGCACAAGGACCGGGGTTCGATCCCCAGTACCACATGCCCAGAACCCCAGGTGTGCTGTGCTGCCACTGATACTGCAAAGTACCTGTAATCCCAGTACTGGGGAGGCTGAGACAGGAGGATCACTATGAGTCTGACCTCTGTAGCAAGATCCTGTACCAAATAAATAAATTTTGTAAAAAAAAAAAAAAAAAAAGTTTTCTGATTGCTCAGGGACACAATTAATAAACAGATGTAGGAGAAGAGGTAGAGCCCTAACACAGATGCCTACGTGAGTGGGAAGTAGAATATATAAATTCTGTCTGCCCACGTTTTCAAACTGTTAGAAAAATTATTTGAAAGCAAATAGCTTCAAGTATCATTATTATTGCTAAGTTATGAAGGTTGAAGATACTTTAAAATTTTCTTGTGTTGGGGAACAACTTTGTACGTGACAGAAGTAAATTTAAGCTATTTATAAAAACAAATAGTTCCTCTAAAAGTCAGTGGATTCCAAAGTGTCCCATAGCAATTTTATCATAGAAATATTATTAAAGCATTGTTAAGTGGCTTTAATTATGACCTTTTTTCATAATTTTATTGAGAAACAAATAGCAATGAGACAGTTTCAAATCAAATTGGTAGGACAGTTTCAATAATTAACACATTGCATACATTCTTCCTAGTGGTTAATTGCTGTACAAGATGCGGACATGATATTCTATTTACAAACACCATTAGAACAAATCCCTCTATTCATTAAGAGAATGTAACTATATATCTATCCTAAACACTTTGAATACAAAATGGACATTCATCTGTATCCCCTTTTTTTGGTTAAGTTCCATCATTTAAATATTAGAGGTGTGTAAACTCAGCAAAATATTCTAAAAGAGTTCAGTAGCCCATAATAGTACTAGGTCTTCCACTTCACTGGCAATGTCAGAAACTGTTGACCTGAGTCCCCTACAGCTCAACAAAACAGCATGGCTTTACTTCTTATACTTCGTTTTTATACTTTTCTGCTGGATGTTAAGACCAAGGTAAAGTAGGACCTATGCAACAAGAGTTGTAGCTTTTGGGTCTGATAAGGTCAGTGAAATCCCCTCAGGATTTATCCTGAGATCCTGTACCTCAGATCGTAGAACTTTTGTCAGTGTCAGCCATGTGGATGAGTCACAGCCATTACTTGGCCAATGTGCTCTCTGTGAAAGCCTGAGAGAATGTTTTCTCTCCATGTGATACAAAAATTAAGGAGTACTGTACACAACAGCTCATAAGGGCAGCTTCTGTGATATTTATTTATTTTTCTTGAGGAACCGGGGATTGAACTCAGGCCCTTGTGTTTGCCAGGGAAGTGCTTATTCCACTGAGCCATCTCCCCAGCTCTTCTGTGATATTTAATACTTGCAGTAGCATACTACTGAAAGACTCATTTTATCTAGGACAAGGGCTAAAACAAATAAGTTTTATCATACCTAAATATATTAAGGGCAAAGCAGGTGTGGTGGTGCACACCCGAGGGCCTAGCCCTTGTAGAGGATAAGGCAGGCGAATCACAAGGCCTGGGTCTTCAGCAAGATCCCATCTCAAAATAAAAACAGAGGAAAATGTAGCTTCGTACTAGAGTGCCCCCGGGTTCCATTCCCAGGACTGCCAAAAGAAAGAAAAAAGGAAGGGTAAAAGAACATGGAAGAAGGGCAACCCATGCAGGACCCGTCCTGTCTCTGGTCCTATTTTCCAACTCTTAAAAAAAAACAACACAGAAGACATAATCTGTTAAAAATATACAGACAACGATAAAATAGCATGGGGAGTTCTTAAAGTTAAGGTATCAAATTAAAATGACTGTCAAGGCTTAATTTTTCTTTTCATTGCTGAAGATGAGTCCAGGATCTTTCACATGCTAGGTAAGTGCTCTCCTCTGAGCTACAAGGAGTGACTATAACCTATAATAAATGTTTAAATAAAAATCAAAATGTATTACAGTAATAAGCATAATGCTACTCATTCCCTCTGGTTATTAACTCACTTATCCATCATTCTCGCCACCTTCTGAAGCAGATCTGCAAATCCTCTTTTGTGAGTTCATTTTCATGGCTCCCTTGATGTAATGATCTATTCAAAATGTTTATGGGGCTGGCCAGGTGGCTCAGTGGACTAAAGCACCTGCTTAGGCAGACGTAGGGGCCTGGGGCTCAGTCCCTGAGCTGAGTCAGTGAATGAGACTGGGCATGGTGGCATACACCTGTAATCTCAGTGCTTCGGAGGCTGAAAACAGGAGGATCACTACAAGTCTGATCTATGTCGTGAGATTCTGTGGACCCTGTACTAAATACATTTTTTTAAGTTTATTTTTTAAAAAAAGTTTATTAATCTCTGTCAAATAAAAATGTCATAGTGTGTCCTCATCCACCTTATTCACTACACCTGGCACAATGTGACTTCCGGGTCTCATGCAAAGTTAAAATGAACATGAGAGATAAACATTATGAACTGATTCAGTACATCAAGGCAGCTATAACAAGGCAACTAAAGACATTCACAAAAAAGGACGCTAGCACTGCTTCAGAAAGTGGCACGAATAACACTGAGGGCATCTGGGGTGAGGGGAGCAAGGTGTTTTTGCAGTAATGCACTTTTAGCATTCACTGTCGTTTTGGATTGTACGTCCCATCTCCCCAGCCCTTGACTTAACTCCTTGTTAGCACTCAGTGAAACCACAAATAGACTGTTGCCCAAGCAGTGCCCACGAGCGTCACAGACTGCCTGAGTGAGGGATCACCTGAAGGTCATTCAGGTCTCTTGCACTCTGTTCTCAGATCAGAGCGTCCATTACTGAAACAGTATGAATGAAGTGGTGTCAGAGAAGACAGCACACTAGGGACATGGCACATGGGTCTCAGCTCAGAGGTCCCTGAACTCAACCTGGTAATTCTGGAGTTCTTACAGTTAAAAATCATCCTACAAATTAAAACAAGGCAACTGGATGTTCTGTTACAAATGTTAAATATTTGCATACTTTTTGCATTAAAAGTCATCATGTTCATAGACTCTTCACAAATGGTCTTGATTGTACTAGGGTCTAAATGATTTGTGCTTTGCCTTCTGAATTCAGAAGAAATCTGGCAGGTAAATCCAGTTCCCAGCATCATTTAGTTTTCTAGAACTTAGTCCTGCTCCTTTTCACACTTACGTCCCAAAGTCCCTCAGGGCCCGGCAGTTATTAATGCTATACTTGGTTATAGGAATCACTGTCCTAAAAAAAAAAAAAAAAAGAATCACTGTCCTAGTGGCTGTGATGTTAAGTTCATCTGTACTGTCAAGATTTTCTTGTTTGCTTGATACTATTTTCTATCTGCTACTCATTCCATTTTATAAAACTCACTCCATTTTATAAAATATATTTTAAAATAAAATTCTTTAATATATAAAGTCAAATTTTCTCTTTAATATTAATGCCAAATATGTGTCTCTGGAAAAATGCTGACCTTTGATATAATAAACTTATGTAGTTATTACCACAAGTTCTTTAAAATGAAAACAAAAGTGATAAAATAGCAAAATGTTCACTATAAACTGTATTCATTATTTATCTCACTTAAGAAACATGTAATAAGTATTCTGTGCATGTTGGGCAGGCACTGTGGTGGGGAATGCAAAAATAAAAAGTGAAACTCCTGGCCCTTCAGGA